GTAACTCAACTCCAAACAGATCAACATGAATAGCCAAAACAGCTTAGCCTTGAAGCTGTTCTTCTTTTAAACTCTCCCGGCTAATATAGCCACGCCCTATTTTACAATAACAACCTATGAGGTTGCACGGATAAGGTCCAATCACAATTGTTCCCTCTCATGGAACTGGATGTTGGTGATTGGTCGGCTCTTCCTGGGCTACCAATAGTAATTGAGGGATTAGGATCGTAGCCAGCCCCGTAGTTAGGGAATTCTTTGGGAGGGGGCCTTGGGGGGGGCCGCCAACTAATTAAATGGAAGTACAGTGCAGGTGGTAAGTTGGAGCTCTTTGGGGGCAGCCCTGGAGGGAGGGGGCCCAGAAAAAACACAAGGGGGCTAGGCCCCATGGGCCCCATGTTAGCTACGGGCCTGATCGTAGCCCAGGACGAAGCTTCACATGGTGTTTCAATCACTGCGTTTTCATACAGACATTGGTCACATTGAATACACCACAGTACTGGGTAGATAGTCTCTTCTCCTTCAAATACAGAAGCTAATAGCCGGATTTAAGTTGTCAAGATGCTGCAAACACACGAGAGCCCTAGATACAAGCATCAGTCTTTGCAAGATCAGACTCCTCCTGAGACCAGCCCTGTCTCGCTGGCTGATCACTCAATGCAGGTCACCTTCTGCAAGAAGAGAGATAATTCACTTTCTCAAGAGCTTGGCCAGAGAAAATGAAACACTTCTGTTCTCAGGAGAGAAAGAAAGAAGATGCATCAATGTCAGACATACTTCCAGCACCCAGACATCCTTTTGCTCTCGTTTAAATTAAAATGCAATTGTTTGGCCTGACTGCATTTTTCAACTCTCGATGCCTACAACCCCCCTCCCAACAAACATTTCAGGCTTTGTTAAAGACCTTTTAGTTCATACTATTTATCTTCAGGAGTTTCTTATGTAAAAACAATGTTTCTGTTCCCATATGAAGATCCCTAAGGAGACTGTATATTAAAGATGTGTCTCCTTTTCAACGTATCAGGAAGAAGAGAAGAGATTTGATTTATATCCTGCCCTTCACTGGGAGTCTCAGAGCAGTTTACAAATTCCTTTCCCTTCCCCTCCCCACAACAGACACCCTGTGAGGTAGGTGGGGCTGAGAGAGCTCTCTCGAGAACTGCCCTTGAGAGAGCAACTCTGACAGAACTATGGCTTGCCCAAGGTCATCCAGCAGCTGCAAGTGGAGGAGTGGGGAATCAAACCTGGTTCTCTCAGATTACAGTCCAGGCACTTAACCACTACACCAAACTGGCTCACGGGTGAGGCGCTGGATGTCTTATAGTGCAGACGTAAACAGAATTACGCCCGTCTACATCCATTGAATTAGATGGTCTTCAGGACCAAACTACTGGTTTGGGTTTCTAAATAATTGGGTCTGGTTCCGCAGCTACACATCAGCTGCAGGGAATGGCTAAAGGAGAGTCCAAATAGTTTCAGAACAGTGCCACAGGGGGGAAAGGGCTCCTGCCTTTCCCCCAAACTATTTTTACATGCAGAAACAGTACTGGTGAGGGAGTCCCCCTCCCATTTTTTGCTGCTCTATGTGGAGTATCCTGTGCACCTGAAGCAGCAAACTGGAGAAATCACTCCTACCCAGCATTGTTTCTGCACAGGAAAACAGGGAGGGAGGGGAGGCAGAACTCTTTCTTCCCCCTGCAGTGGTGTTCTAAGCCTTGTTTGGGCTCTTCTTTCTTGTTTTATTTTTTTAGAAAAATAGGCTCTTCCTTATTTTTTAATAGCCATTCCCTGTAGCTGCTGTGTGGTTGTAAGGAATGCCAGTTGGATCCAGGGATGGACCTGGACCCAACTCTTTAAAAACCTGAACATGTAATTTGGCCCTTAGAAAGGCATAACTGCCCAGAACTGCACTGTTAGCAGGTTGGTGGTGGTGGTTATGGGCTGGATGAGGGTCAGCAGGGGTCATTTCCTGCAGGAGCGCACAGGAGTGGAGCTCCAGCAGTAAAGAGTCCAGGGGGCAGGCACATGCAACAAGCCCCACCCCCTGCTCCCAGCCGCCCTCAGTCAGAGCAAGAAGCAGCCAGGTAAGCTGCAGAGCTCCCTCCGGCCTCCGGTCCAAAACAGTCCAGTGGCACCTTTAAGACCAAGTTTTATTCAGGTACAAGCTCTCCCTCCTCTGCGAGAACAGATCTGCACGTCCCGTCCCCCCCAATAGCTAGGAATCGAAAACCGTCCAGTGGAGCCTGAGCGGTGGGTGTTGCCTTCTGACACACTTCCAGTGATGTCAGGGGGTGTGGCATATGCAAATAAGCTATGCTAATGAGCTCCTGCACCTCTTTTTCTAGGAAATGATCCCTGAGGGTCAGTAAACTGAAGCTCATTCCAACGAGATGGATATGCTGTTGGTTGATTCTGTACCATATTAGGGACTGGGCAGTTGGCATGTTCTGAATAGGACAGCACCTGTCCTGAAATAATAGGCTCATAGTTAGGGGCAGAGTGGGTCTGCTGTTAGATCCATTTTTACAACTGGAGGCTCAGATCACCTTTATGCCACCTTTGATCAGGTTCAGTAGGTTCACCAGCTGTAGTCTATCTTCAAGAAAGGGAATTTGGCCTCAGTTATCCATGCTCTGAACACACTCAAGCTAGACTACTGTAATTTGCTCTACTGGGGCTGCCTTGGAAGCTAATTGGTTCAAAATGCAGTAACAAGATGACTAGCTGCTATACATTATTGAATATATATTTCACTTGTGCTAAAAGATGGACTGTGGCTACTAGTTAATGTCTTGGCTCAGTGCCAAGTAATAATTATGCCTTTTAAAGCATAAAAGCATAAAAATCTGATAAGATAAAACCCCTCATTAAAAGCCTGGGTAAAAAGATGTGTTTTAGCCTGGTACCTACAAGAAAGTAAAGTAGGTACCAAGTTAGGCTCAAGGGGTAAAGCATTCTGCAAGTGAGGTACCACCACAGAAAATGCCGTGTCTCTAGACACCACCTGCCTCACCTCTGAAAGTGGGGGCACAGAGAGCAGGTTTGAGAGGCAGATTTTAATTAATGGACTGTATAGTATAGCAGGAGATGGTCCTTCATTTAAGGCCTTAGACGTAAAAACCAGCACTTTGAATTGTGCTCAGAAACAGAGGTGTAGCCCTTGCAGACCTTTCAGCACAGGGGTGATACCATCCCTGTAACCAAATCTTGACAGTAGCCTGGCCACTGCATTTTGGACTGGTTGAAGTTGCTGAACTATTTCCAAAGGCAGCCCCACGTAGAGTGTATCACAGTAATCCAACTTGGATGTGATCAAAACATATAATAATAATAATAATAATAATAATAATAATAATAATAATAATAATAATAATATCTTTCAATTTATTAATTGCTCAATCCTGCAGAGCTGCTGGCTCTGAGAAATTTACAGTTACACATATTAACAAGGGACTAACAATGATTCATAGGGGGTAAGGGAGGACAACATATAAATCTTTAAGTCACACACGTTTGCAGCCGACAGGGATTTTTGTTCAGCTATAGACTTAGACGTGTTCCGGACGGCATTCACTCGGCTTGGCTTGATGAAGTCAGTTTTTCCAGGACTGCTTCGAGTCACAGCGCCGCACTGCCCCTGCCTGGCCGGATTGGCCCATCGCAGGCTTCTTACTGCCGAAGAGATCTTTCCAGTCTTCCAAAGCTTACGAGCTAGACATTCCGTTTCGCCGGCTAACACCTCCCCCACCGGGGGTGGTGGTTTAGTGTGCCCACCCTCTCTAAGGAGTGGTACCCATTTTATCTACTCGCCAAAGCTTTCGAACCGCTGGGTGGATGGCGAGCTGGGGACAAGGCTGGTAGCTACCGTGTTGGAGAAGTAACGAAGAATAAAAGCTGCATTCTAGCTGAATCACTCTCCGACTCTTTGTTAAGTTCGTGACTTAGGTTAAAATCTAATTTGAAACTAATTTGAAACTTTATTTTCATGGTGGTAGATCACTGCCCCTTTTGGCCGGAAAAAATAGATCACTACCTTTTCGAAGTTGGACATGCCTGCCCTAGAGTCATCAAGGCAAGAGACATTCAGAGGTGGTTTGCCATCGTCTGCCTCTGCATAGCAAACCTACCTGAAGAAGGGCACAGTGACTCAGGAAAGCTCCTACCCTGCCATAAATTTTGTTAGTCTTTAAGTCGCTACTGGCCACTTACTCCTTTCTACAGCTACAAACAGACTAAACACGGCTACCTGTCTTGACCTGGACTTCCTTGGTGGTGGTTGTCTCCCATCCCAAAGACTGATCAGGGCCGACTCTGCTTAGCTTCTGAGATATGACAAGACTGTGTTAGGGGGTCCCTGCAGGTCAGAGCAAGGGGTCACCAATCACTATTAAGCTATATTAGAATACGGGATGTAATTAAAAGGCTATTGGGATGTCTGTGCTGACATAACAGTACATCCCCCTCAAAAACTTTCTACAATTAGAAAATAAAACTTTGGACACTTATGTGCTATTTTGACATTTTTATTGCTTTGAAACTGACCTTAGAACCTTCTTGTTACTTAGCTGAACAAAACTAAACTGTTGCTTAGCTTTCACTTCGCATATCTTGAACATCATCACGTTACATGTTAATTTGCGGTTCATTCTCTGGCTATAACTTTTAACCCTCCCTGCCATTCCAATGTATTTGAGAACGTGTGCGTGCACACGAAAGCTCATACCATGAATAAACATTTGTTGGTCTTAAACGTGCCACTGGACTCTAAATCTGTTCTGCTGCTTCAGACCAACACGGGGGGGGTCTTATTTCAGAGTGAGCGCGGAAAGAACGGGAAGATCTGTACGAGACATTCTGGGAAGCTCATTAGGAACCTGAAAAGCCGCGCTCGAATTAAGCTCTCACTAGTGGAGGCGGCTACTTCTCCGTGGGGCGGAGTTGGCTGCACTTCGGGGTGGCGGAGAGCCGCCCAGTTCCGTCGCTCGTCCCTCCCCGCCGCTTGCTGGAGTCGGGTAGTCGCACAGCGAAAATGGCGATGCGGGTCTGCAGTATCCCGGCACGGCGTTTGCTGCTAGTGCGGGGCGGAGGATTCTACGTGGCCCGCAGCGGCGGTGGCGGCGCCGCCCGGTGAGCAGTTGTGGCTCGGCAGCGGAGGCAGCCGTTTCCTCCTGGGCCCTTCTCCCTCTCGGCTCCGATCCTGGCTGGGCTGCGCGCCCTTCCCCCTCGGTGCCTCCGGAACCCCTCTCTGTGCGTGCGCCCCGCGCCTCTCTTTTGGAAAGGCGCAACTTTTCGAACACGCAAAGAGGTAGCGGGCTCAAATCATCTTGCAAGTTACACTCTCCCACACCTGTGGCACGCGGAGCTGTGAGTCATATAGACTCTTTAGCGGCCAGGCAAAGTTGCGCAAGGCGCGCGTCTTTACTGTTTGTTCCTGTACTCAAGGCCTGAGGCCTGACGACGATAGTAATAGGTCTGGCGCTGATTGCTGGGGCGCCGTAGAGGCAGGCCGGGCCCTTCTCTGCCACAGAGCTTGAGTTTTTGTTCTTAAGTGATTGGGGGGCCCTGGTAGCTTCTTACTTCCCTTGTCTTAATTAATTAATTCACCCTTGGAGACCAGATCACGGGTCAGCAGTTGCAGGACCGAATCTGCCCCTTGAGGAGTGCTACCGGGCTCTTGTGTTGCAGGTGCTAACACAAAGCTTCAGATGCTTTCAAGGTGCCTCATTTGCCTCTGCATTGATAGGGAATAGGAAATACTGCTTTGAAGACTGGGGTTGGATTAGCAGTAGTTGTTCCCCTGTGTACTCGTGTCCTCCCTGCCCCTGCTCTTTGGTAAATGCCTAATTTAATGTAGGTGAGCAGCTTTCTCTGTGCCAAGGTACTCAAAGGGACTCCATTTCAAGGCATAAACCCAGTTGAAATAGCAGCAGGTAAAATCCAAACAATGCCATAGCAGCCATAAAACCAGGCATCAAATTAAGCACTTTCCAACACTTATAATTTTGTTGTTGTATGCCTGGGGGCAGGGCTTTTTCTAACTGTTGTACAATACCCTTTTTATTAGCTGCTTAATAATTTTAAAAAAACCTTTATTCTTTAGGCACTGATTCTCGTCAGCCACCCTTTTTTTACACCTATAAGCCTGAGGAGGTTCAACCCTGGTGTCAGCTGCTAGTGGATGTGGCTTGTGTGTCTACTTTAGGATGACCCCATGTTGGAATGCCTAGATAGATAGAAGTTGAAAATTGCTGCGTTGAACCTCTAAATGACATGCATTGCAAATAGGACTTGAGTCAGTTCAGACTTTGACTGATGAATGCAAGCCAATGTGCGATTTGGAGATTGTGGTACCTTTCCTCCCCCCCCCCTTCCTGTTACTCAAAAAGGCCCACATGTCTTGCAAATGTCTATGCTTCTACCTTTGCAATTCAAGCCTCTTCAAGCAGGTATTGCAGGAGGTTGGGCATGCTCTAAATAAACAAGCAGTGGAGTTGCCCCCCCCCCCCGGCTGTACCAATTCAGACAGCAGGTGAAAGGCTCACAGGACTTGATTCTCCTTCATGCACAAGAAATTCTTGAATTTAGAATGCTGGTGCATCTGAGAGAAAACTTGGCTAGAGACTGGGTCCCTGTCTGCAGTACAAAGCAGTGCAGCCCAGTGAGGATGGGGCTTTCTTCTGTTTGAATCTTCCTACCCCTCACCCTGTGTCCCCTTTTTCTGCTTGTGTGCCTCCATTCTGGCTCTTCTACCACCATGCCTTCTCCCATGCTCTGCACATGCCCATCTAGTTTGACCATTGCATCCGTCTGTACCTGTCCTTTACCCAGCCTGTGCTTCTGATCTTGTATCTTCATCCTTACACGTTTTCCCCCTTGACCTGAGACAGAGTGGAGAAATGGGTCTTTATGGACGGGGAGGTGCTTCTCTGTACTCTTCCTTAGAAGTTTAATTCCATTGTAGTTGGTGGAACTTGACAGCCAAGAAAATGTATTTAAGGAGAGACCAGAGAATGGATTTAGGAATGACATTTAAGCCTCTTTGGAGGCACCTTCATGCTTCTTTTCTGGGGAAGGGTGTGTGGTGTATAAATGGGGATTGGGTATTTTAATCATTCCTGGTTTGTATTGAGAACTCAATCGGTTTAAAAACTAATTATGAGCTGTAATGGCTTGGCAGTGACCCAGTGATATCCCTTTGTACTATCTAGGCATTGTGTGTAAGTGATGTTTTTTTGTCCATGATTGGGTGCAGTAGGAGAGAATGTATGTTGGTTAAGGGACTTTGGCCCCAGAGAGAGGAGCAAGACCCTGAAGGGGTTTAGGAGAGGAGGCTGAGTTGGGGCCTATTCATGCCAGACCAGTATGTCCTGTTCTGCAGTTGAACCTTGCTGGTAGTTGTGCTAGGGCAGTAAAATAAATTTGAAAATAAAGGGAGGCAGGGAAAGGACTCAAGCCCACACAGGTTATATGGGGCATGCAGGAAATGGACTTCTGACAGAGCTGACATTTTTCTCCTTGAGTTCATGTGTCACATGGTGAAGTCAAGTGTCACTCCTAAAAAGCTTTATCTTTACTGAATTTTAAAGCACTTGCTCTCAGAAATGCCTACACCATTGTATTTTGTGTCCTCCTACTCTGGAGGGAATGGCCAGGAAGCCAGTCCAGAACAATGATTCATTCAGAGACACGACAAGCAGCCCTTGGGCGGCTGGATGATAGGTGTTCAAGCAACCAGAACCCTACAAGGGGCTAGAAATGTACTGGGCTGATTGGCTTTGATACCTCTGCAAAGGGTTGTTTACCATTATGTTTCTGAGATTAATGAATGACTAGTAATGGGGCAAAGGTCTTGATCCATAAAAAGTGTGTCTCTGTTTTTAAACTTTGTCTTCAAACAGAGGAAGAGCATGCTCTGGTAGAATATTGGATCCATAGCATTAGCCAGGGTTGATAACAGGACTGCCTGCCCACCCCTATATCTGAGCCTTGTGAGGTCAGGGAAGGCTCTTAATTTTGCTCATTCCTTTTTGTAAAGTTTGTAAAGTATTGTATGTTTTTTTTAAAATGAAGACGCTTGTCCTAGAAAAGTGATCCTGAAGGTAGAAAGTTTGAAGACCACTGGTCAAGGTCAAATAAGTCTTACAAAAGGCATGAACCTGTAAAAATATTGATCTGCCTATACATGGTATTTATGAGAGTCACATGAGGCCTTAAAGGAATGAAAAGATCACCTTTTGCAAAGCTTTTGTGTCTGGTCCCCTGGAAGTTATCCTAACTCACCTGAGGCAGCCCCGTATTTAGTGAGGTGTAGTTGTTAGTGTTACAGTATCAAACTAGGATCTGGGAGAACCGGGTTTGACTCCCCAGTTTGCCATGAAAGCTCACTGGGTGTCTTTGGACCAGTCACATACTCTTGACCTGTTGTGAGGATAAAGTGGAGAAGAAGAGAACGACTTTAGCTACTTTAGGTCCCTGTTGGGGAGAAAGATGGGGTATAAAAGAAGTTGATTCTTCAAACAAAACCCCCCACAGATGCTGTAGTGCCCAGACTGCATGAACTTTGTGTCCATATCCTCTGACCTGTAGCCCTCTTGTAGACCACTCTTTTCACTTCTGTGTCTTTTTCCAGGGACTACTCCAAAGATAATGAAAGTAGCTGGTTCCGCTCCCTCTTTGTCCACAAAGTGGATCCCCGAAAAGATGCTCATTCCAATCTTCTGTCCAAGAAAGAGACCAACCACCTGTACAAGATCCAGTGTGAGCTGCACTCCCATGTCCTTTTACTTCCCTTCCCCTCTATAGTTATTGTGAGCTTCTGTGCATGCTTTGGGGGAGGGAATCTGCAAGGCAGGGTCTGGGGTGCGGAAGGGTTGTAGCTGCTGAAAGGACATGGGAATTCCTTGTCTTCTGGACTGTGGCTTTGCCCCATCTTGGGAGAAGGAGAGATTGGATTTACACCCCTGCCTTCACTACCCAAAGGAGTCTCAGAGTGGCTTACAATCTTCTGTCCCTTCCCCTGCCCACAACAGACACCCTGTGAGCAATGCTCCTTGTGAGCAAAAATGCTACTTTGTGAGCTTGTTGGCATTAAAGTTGTGAGCGAGCGATTTGGCTACTGCATAAATTAGTTTGCTCAGGAGCCATCCTTCCTGAGCTAAGACAAAAATGTGTGAGCCGGAGGCTAAAAAATGGTGAGCTAGCTCATACTAACTCACCTTAGAGGGAACACTGCCTGTGAGGTAAGTGGGGCTGCGAGAGCTCTTGAGAGAACAGTTCTGAGAGAACTGTGACTGACCCAAGGTCACACCAGCAGCTGCATGTGGAGAAGTGGGGAATCAAACCCGGCTCTTCATGCTCTTAACCACTACACCAAACTGGCTCTCAGAACAGGTAGGACAGGTAAATTATGAATGGTCTGTACTAGGACTGGATGAGTCCTTTGGTTCCTGTGAGCTGTTATAGCAGGCTCCTGGTAGGTGCTTCCTGTTTCCTACTTAGGAGGCAGGATCTGCTTCCTACCTAGGAGGCAAGCAGTTGTGCCCTTGCTCACAAAGGCTGCTGTAATGAAATAGACAACTGAGCTGCCCCCTACACAGTGGCATCTTTGGCTTCACTGAATATTTGACAATATTTGATCGGAGTTAGATAATTTAATAGGCTGTCAGCTGGCAATATCTGACTAGTCAGTTGACTAGTGCATATGCTGGTTTAATACCTTAATAAACAAAATGATTCTGATGGTGATTCTGACTAGTGTACCAAACCCAGTTCACACTTAATCGTGCAGTCCAAATACTGGTACGCCACTTGTCTTTGTGAAAAACTTTGAAAAATTAATCCGGTGTCTGACCCTTACAGCTGTTCACGGTAGATATGAAAATGGAAAAGAGAGCCAGCGTGGTGTCATGGCTAGAGTGTCAGACGAGCCTCTGGGAAATCCAGGCTTGAATCTCCGCTCTGTTGTGGGAGCTTGCTGGGTGATCTTGGGACCATTATACACTCTGGAGTCTAACCTGCCTCACAGGGTTGTTGTAATGGTAAAACAGAGGTGAGGAGAATAATGTTCTTGGGGAGAAAGGCAGAGTATAAAGGAAGCAAATGAATAGAGTCTGAGAAAGGGCTGTATTGTTGAAGGGGTGTAGCTTGCACAGCTTCTGCTTGGCTGCCTGTCCACTATTCAAACCCGCTTCCATTGCCCTGTATTTTTTTGCTATCACCACAGCTCTTCCTCGAAGTCCAGATTCTAGTAACTCAAATGTGATGATGAGCAAGCGTTTGCTGAGTAAAGCAAACTGCATCACTCTCTTAATCTGTGTGATATTTTCCCCATGGAACTCAGGTTCCAGAATTTGGATTTTGAGCAGTTCAGTTGGGCTGGCACGGTGCAGAAAAAAGTGCCGCTGCAATACCATGGCCGTGACCCCGCTGACTGTTCCCCAGCTGTGCTGTTGAGGGAAGCTGCTAGGCAGGCCTGAGGTTATGTTTCAGCCCAAGCTGAGCCACTGCACTCTGTGTCTCTCCTCTGCAGATGGGGAGGTGGCTTCCAGCTTTCCTGACATCACTTCTTTTTCTCTCCTTTCAGTCCACAATGTGAAACCTGAATGTCTGGATGCCTACAACTGCCTGGCGTAAGTCCCTTCACCCCCCTGCCCCCCCCATACTCTGAGTATTTGGGGGTGCATGCCCTCGGCTCGTGAAGGGTAGAGGCTGCAGAGCCCAACTGTTTCCCAGCACCAGTTGACACTGCAGTCTAGAATGTGACCGAGTTTCTGCTGTCACACTGTGCCTGATAAGGTAGTTTTACTGGTACTCTTAGGACCTAAACTGGATATTGGCACTATTGGTACTAAACTGAATATTGGTACTATTACTGTTTCCAGTATATGCAGTTACTTCTGACACAAGGCCAGATACATTTGGGGCCCCACAAACTAAAATCTTTTTGTGTGTCATTCAATTCCAGATTGGAACATTCCATTTTTGGTCCTATATTAATTGTTTATTGCCTTACAAGTGTAACAGGGACTTTGCTGCATGGTGTATTTTGTATTCTGTACTATTTGACCTCTGAAGAAGGCTCTTGTGAGGCAAAACGCGTCAGGTCATACATCGTTCTTTTTTGTGCATTTGTCACTTCGAACATGATGCTTTATTTGGGCCCTTACAAGGTTTTTATATGTTTCTGAAATAAACACATGTACTTTTGTCTATACCTATTGACGTTTTTAACTTTTGGCCCTTAACTAGCTTTCTAAACTTCCTTTGGAGGTTTTTGCTTGGTTGGTTTAGTTTTTCTTCCCCTCTCTTTGTGGTTGTAGAAGATGACAACAGAAAGTGGTGAGCAAAGAGGTGTGGTTTAAATGCACAGGACTTTGTTTTGTGGTAGAAGCAATCAATAGTCTTGTGGCAGCATTTAGGACTATCGAAAGCTTGTATGGCCAGAACCCTGAAGTACGTGTGTGTGTGCACAAACACCCAGCATATAAAGAGGAAAGGAAAGCTATGGTTTGGTTTCCAAAGAGAAATCAAAAGATTAAACAGTACAAGAATAAGCAGAAAGTTCTTACCTTTTGTGAATAAATATAAAAGTACTTATTTGCCTGCATGCATCTTTGAGAGTCGTTTTTGTTTTGTTTTTGACCTAAAAGAAATCTCTGTGCAAAGCATAAGATACGATTGGTCTGGATATGGCCCATTCCCCTAATAGCAGCTGGTGATCATGAACAGGCGTAGCCAGAGCAAGAGGGCAAAGAACACCTTGAGGGGAGACAGTGACTTTGTCTTGTAAGTTAGAAATCCCCAGGATTTGTTGAGACTGCACTGGACAGATTTCAGTTCTGCCAGTGGAAAATTATTTTAATGAAATTCTGAATTTTTTTGCTGGTGGACCTAATGACAGTTCTAAGCATAGATAGCTTTAAAAGGGATTTTAAACAGGTTTGTGAAGGAGAAGTCCATCAGTGGCTATTTGCCATGGGGACTTCAGGGAACCTGCATATCCAGTAGATTTCTGAATGCCGTTGCTAAGAGACAACGTTAAGGGGGAAGTATTTGCACCCTGCCGGTTGGCCACTGTGTAAAACAGGTTGCTGGACTAGATGGACCATTGGTCTGATTCAGCAGAGCACCTCTTACATTTATATAGCTGTTGTTACCCATCCGGAAAGTAGTAACTCTGAATGTATTTTAGCCTGGATGAAAGTATGGCCTCCTTCTGATATTCCCATTATGCAAAACAAACATCTTCTTTTGTTCTGAGATCATGGGAGAAGAAGGGCAGGTTGCAACCTTGGGAAAGAGCCCAATGGGGAGCCCCCGTGGCTCTTTGGACCCATCAGGCCTGCTACACATGAGCACTGACAACCAGAAAAGTCCACATTCACCTTTTGATTCCACATCTTCTTTGCAGGGAGCAGGTCCTTCCAAAGCTGCACACAGATCCCGATTACCCTTGTGACTTGGTTGGGAACTGGAATACTTGGTATGGCGAACAGGACCAGGCAGGTGAGGGAAGGGGGCAACCAAAGAGGGCTGGGTTTAGGTGCTCCAAATTTCACCTTGGTGGGACCCTCATTGCTTAACCTGTCAGGCCCAGTAATGCAGCTTTAAAAAAAAGCTTCAGGAACTGTTTAACCACAGCAACTAAGCGGAACTTCTCCGTGTGGAGGCAGTATACCTTTTGTGTTCAAGAGCTTTGGATTTTGCTGGCTGGGTGGCCTCCATCGGTTTTCCATTTTGTTTCCCAAGATGGAGCAGTAGTGAGGAGTGGAAGCAGTTTTGGGTGGCGTGTGTGTAGTACTAGTGGCTTGTGTACTCCCAGTCTGTTCAGGGGCCTGGATGTTCTCTGGGGTCAGAAAGGTGGCATCAAGGCCAGCCAATGTCACTGTTTGTGTTTTTACCACTAGGGCGGGGGTGGCACTTGGATTTTCTGCCTTGGGCTTCACCACATGTCTTGGGCTGCCTCTAGATGGCATTTGAAGGGAATGTGGCTTGGGGCATGCACCAGGCTGCGTGCTTAGCCAGGGCTTTGTCTGGCTTTGCAAGAATACGAGCCTCACCTTTCCTCACCCTAGTGCACCTGTGGCGATTCAGTGGCGGCTACCCAGCCCTCATGGAGTGCATGAACAAGCTGCGAGAGAACCAGGTATTTAGCATGACTTTCCTTTTACCTAAATGCTTGGGGGTGACAAGGCAGCCAGACACACTCCGTGGCAAGAGCCTCTGTGTTTCAGTGGCCACAGCCAATGTAGCATTTGTACCCCTGCTCCCTAAGTGACCTTGGGTTGATCTCTTCTGTTCGCCTAAGCAGAATTAAGCCACATTTGCTGAGTGCCGGGAATCTTCCTCTAGCTTTTGTCCCATCTCCTCTGCCCTCTTGATTTTGGATACCTGCCCGCTAGAGTAGACAATACCAGGTCAAACAAACACAGTGGTGCATTACAAAGTTACAGATGTCCAGGGCTTGCATGGTCAGCCCACAGTTGCCTACCTAACCGAGTGCCCCCCCCTTCCCTAGGCCTACCGGGATTTCCAAAAAGAGAGAAGTAAAATGCTGCTCTCCCGGAGGAACCAGCTGCTCCTGGAATTCAGCTTTTGGAATGAGCCTTTGCCACGGGCTGGACCCAACATCTATGAGCTGAGGTCGTACAAGCTTAAGGTGAGTGGGGGCAGCTAGCCTAGTGGCTTCAGCACAGCAGGTGGTATTGGCTGTATCCAAAGGAGCAAGTGGTATTTTGAACCAGTGTGGTATAGTGGTTAAGAGCAGTAGACTCTAACCTGGAAAACAGGGTTTGATTCCCCACTCCTCCTCCACATGAAGGCTGCTGGGTGACCTTGGGCCAGTCACAGTTCTCTCAGAGCTCTCTCAGTCCCACCTACCTCGCAAGGTGACTGTTGTGGGGAGAGGAAGAGACAACGATTGTGAGCACCTTTGAGACGCTTTAGGGTAGAGAAAAGCAAGATATAAAAACCAACTCTTCTTCTTCTACCTGAGGTACCTGCCTCTTCTGAGGTTAGCAAGCAGGAGGTTTCATTCCGCAGCAGCAGGCTTTCTGGGTTGAGGGATGGAGAGGCAGGGAACAGATGGATTAGACATTTGCTGAATGTCAAGGAAGTGAATGCAGGTTCTATGCTGATTCCAGATTGGGTCCCTGGTGTGTGATGGTGACGCCTGCACGTTGTCCCAGAACACAGAGGCATGGAAGCCCAGGATGGCCTTTGCAAATGCAGCTTTGTTTG